TTAAAGAAATAAGAGGGTCCTTAAAACGTTTGGTAAGTGTGTGAGAGTTATCTTAGTAACTTATGATTTTCTCTAACACTTTTCAATACTCTAGTCTCTTAGACATTGTGCTAAGTGTACGACCAACAAAGTGAGCTTTCACACTTCCTCTCTTTCACAACTTTGAAGCTTTAAGTTCCTTACTACATTATCTTTGAATTTATCATTTCACTGAAACCTTAAAATTTTCACATGATGAGGCTTGAGATAACTTTAGGATGAGTGTCATCATCACAAACAATTGGAAAGATATCACCAGGGATCAATACCACCTTGATCAAGTAAAGGATCAAGCAACATGATTCCATCGAACATCGGAGTCATCATCGAAACCCCCATGGTCAAAACATTAGTTATAGTCTGTTGTACTTGCAAGCACATAGATCTACATATGATTCTTTTTATGGTTCTCTAATGATTCTTAATTTGATACTTTAAAGGATAGTTCACCATATGATATTTCAAAGGATGCTTATAATACATCTTGTAGGATTATTCTTATGATACTTCAAATAATACTATAGATAATTCTTCATATGATACTTCAAGGGATGTTTCAGATGATTTTTCATATGATTTTTCTTCGTTGATATTTTCCTCATACTGGAGTAATTTGATTAACTCTTTGAGTTTATTTATGATTTCAAGCTTGTTCGATTCGCCCTATAAATTAACAAGAATATTTGTATCTCTAGATTCTAGTACTGGATCAAGTTACCAATTACAGTTCTTCAATCTATGATACTCGTTAGAAACATGTTTTTTTAAATATTTGCCAAGATTTTTAATACCAGAGAATTGTCTTTGAATACGTTCTTCATTTTCACTTAGTATCACAACATTTTGGTCATATGTGTTCATCCTTTACCTTTTCGTCTCAGTTGAAACTTCACATATTTCCTCAAGGGTGTATGACACTTCTTTATAAGAGACACAATTAAAAACATTAATGTACTCTTTAGTGCTTAATTCACTTATCATCAAGTACTTAGATTTAAACATTTGTTGCACTTTTTTCTTTTCTTATGTGGTAAACAGATTTCTAGGTTTATTTACTACTTTGTTATCAATAGATTAAGTAGGAACAAAAGGATCATTTAAAACAAAATTCCATAAATCAAAATCAATAGAATCTAAAAACATTTTCATTCTTGTTTTTCATATGGTAAATCTTTCATCATCAAATAGTGGAAGTTTGTTCATGAGAAGCATAATGTTAAAAGAAGTGTTTAAAGTCATCATACTACCACCTAAGATGATTAGTATTATAACAGAAGTTGTGGAATCACTTGTCAATGAGATACCACATGTTGACCAAGTGACTTCAAACAAAAGAGGGGGTAAATTTTTATATTCGATTTAAAAAAATAGTTTATAAAAAATAATTTTAATTTAGAAATCAATTATATTAGAGAAAGAGAGAAGGGGTTGTGAAAAAATAAATAAATAAAAGAAACTAAATAGATATGGGATAGAAATATAACACTAGAGAGTTATATTGATTCATTCTAATCACTTGACCTACTCTAGACCCCGAGAGTTTTCCTAAAATAAACTTTGAGCTTTTCAAAGGATCAACCAAAACAACCTTTCACAATAAATTATGCTTTTGCACAAGATCATTCAAAAACCTTCTACAGATACATAAAGCTTTTACACATGATTAGATCAAAACCTAAATCATAGCATTTAACAGTTTCAACTTAATAACATTCATCAGAGATTTTAACAAGTTCTGCTCAATACCTTTCACCCAAGCTTTTAACGGGTTAAACTTGCAACTAGGGGGAAATAGGTCAGGCCACCTAATATGGTTCTATGAGTTAGCCTACTCGGGCTAGACCAAACCTTTTTTAAATATAAAAAGCCTAGGCTTTTTAAAAGTCTATTTAGTTATAAAGTCTTGGCCATAGACCATAAAAAAATTGAAAACCTACCAGGTCATCCTATTAAATTAATATAAACAAATTTATTATTATTATATTGTCTTTTATACTTTGAATTAAAACACAAAAATAAATCTTAGTTAGCTTGAAGAACTTATGAAAATATGTTGAAAATACTTGATGAACAATGTCATAAGTTGTTTTTATAAGTACTTAAAAATAAATAGTCTCATAAAACTTGTGCTACTTGGTAAGCTCAGACGATTTAATGCAAACAAACATTTAATTTGATTGTTCTTTTAATTTTTGTTAGTCTGTTTAAACATTAGTTGAATTGCTTATTTAGATATGTTCAAATGAAATTGGCTTTAAAATATTTTAATAGGCTAGCCCGGCCTTCGAAAAGGTCGGACTTAGACCTAAAAATAAGTCTTTGACATGCTAAAAGTCAGCCTTAGGCTTTGAAACTTTTAGTAGGCCATTCTTAGGCTTGGAAAATCCTAGCTCAGTTCAGCCTATTTTCACCCCTATTTTAAACCTTCAAAATCATTACAAATATGTCACAAGAGACTATGCTCTTAAATAAAGACTTTCAGCACAACACTAGTAAAATAACTCTCAGAAGGTACTTTTCACTATCTTAACACTAAAGCAACTTTAATGAAAAACTAAATTTATAAAAGAATGACAAAAATAAATTATAGAAGAGTTTATATTTGGAAAATGAGTATATTTTGAAATTGAAAAAAAAAATTGGCTCAAAAAGGAAATAATCTATGGACCATTTTAATGAATTAATCGATTAAATCTATGTATTAATTGATTATAAACCTCCTTAATTGATTAGGAGGAGTTACTCTTTAATTATAATTGATTAAAATAACCTCTTAATTGATTAGACAATATATATTACCTTCTTAATTGATTAAATAAGTATTCACTTAATTAAGTTCTTGATCAGATTGGTTTTAAGATATTTTGACAAAAGCGAAGAGGTTTGAAAACACTTTTTATGTGGGTGTACATTGCCTTAATACCTAAAAACTTATTATTGTTCCTTTTATAATTAAAATGATCAGAACTAGGAAAAAACCTTAAGTGCGAGATTATGCGAGCTTTCACACTTTCACACCTTCAAGCATTCAAGTTTCAAAATCAAAACTTCAAGTCTTCAAGTTTTTTGCTTAACTCAACAACGTCTAACACTAAACTTAATATCATTGACTCGTGAGGCTTGAAACATGTGTTCTTTGATTAGATGGCTCCATCAAGAATCATTGGAAATAGCCATCAATATCAAATCATCTTTGACAAATGTCATTAATACACTTGATAGTTGTTATCAACATACTTTAAGATTGTCATCAATATACTTGATAGTTATCATCTTCAAAACCACAATGTTACTTGCACAACACATGGAATCACACCTATGTTTACCTTCAGGACTACTTTTCTCAGGAGGAAATCTATCTGAAGAGGAAATTGGTGGCCTTCAGGTAAATTTTAGGCTTTTTTGACACATTTATTCTTTTTCTCAACCTCGACCACGAATGCCTTATCGCCTCTACTTCTGACCGACTGATGGCACTATGTCATTACATAATTGTTACGAGTATTTTCGTTGAAATTTGTTAACTTTCGAGTCAAAATGGTGCTAAAATGATGAAGAGGTGAGTAAAATAACTGTTGCAACCGGTTTTTTAATCGGAGTCGTCACCCTTAATTTTTATTCTAAAGGAAGGGAGTATAAAGGAATAACTCTAAAGTTCATAGATTCTAGATTTGGACTCGGTTCTAGACGAGAGGAAGGTGTTAGGAACCCTTATCTACCTTGTTCACAAGGATACTAGGTTTAGAAGAGTATTTTTAGGAAATAGGGTTTTTAATTATTATTGGGAAAAAGGTTTGAATTTTAGTTAGTGGGACTCGCCACAATTTTTAATCGTATGTCTACGTATCCTCTTAAGAGGAACCAGAGTCTCATTTCGTAGTTCGTGGTTTAGTTGGTGTTTTTTATAAGATTGTGTAAAATTGCTTTCGAAATAACCTTGAACCTCGTCTGGGTTGAAAATTGTGTGAGCGTAGACGTAGTTCGCAATTAATTTGGAAATAATTCTCCTTAGTCCTTTTTCAAAAATATCTTGTTTTTGATTATACTAGTAGAAAAATGTTTGATCATTGGTTAGCTGTTTTGAGACATGGAGCAGGGAGTCTGATATAGTCTCCTCATCACGTGGCCAGATATTAGCCACGTGTCGCTCGCGGATGGTGAATTGCACGGATTTTCATTGTTTGATTTTGAATAATAAACTGGTAAACGATGTGTCGACCGATTTAATTACTCGAAGATGGACATCCTAATTATTTAAGAAAAACGTTAGATTTAAAAAAGTTTGACTTATATACATGTTCGATTTTATATACAAATTGTAAAAAATTAATCAAGAGACCTAAGAAAAATTGTTTACAAACTTAGTTATCCACATATATTTCTTTTTGTATTTTTTATAATCATGGATAGATTTACCCTAAGAAATAACCTAATGAAAAATTAACTTGAATAAAATGAAATTAGGCTAATAACTTAGCTAAAAATCTAAATTAAATAAAACGTGCTATCTTTTGTTTTCTTTTTAATTTCTATTGATTTTTGATATCTTATTGAAAAATGTTTTGATAATATTTTAAATATTATTACTACACTTAGGACAAAAAACATGATAACCCAATATACACAATAGTAATAATAAGAAAAATAAAGAGATGGGCTCATAGCCCATAATAAGAAAAAACAAATAACCAAATTCCAAAACAATGATAAAACAAAAATAATAATAATAATAATTAGATGAAATTATAAAAAAGGGTGAAGTGAAGTCACACTACTACTTCTCCCAGTAACAAAATGCAGTAGAAAAGAACTGCAGTAATGCTTCAAATTGCTTTATGTTCTCTCTTTTTTAAAAGTAAGATCAAATGCGACGATTCTCAAACACAAACAGAATCTTCCTCCTCTCACTTACACAGTTTCTTCCAAAAATCCAAACAAACCCAAAAAAACAATTTCTTTGATTAAATGTAAATAATATCAAAATCATGAGAACACTTTTGTGGGTGGTGATGCGAAGGTTGATCCACAGTTGTTGTTTGATGATGGTAGACGGATCGGCGCGGTCGACGGTGGCAGATCCGAGAAAGCCATGAAGTTGTGGCTGACATCACCATGGTAGTTGCTCGACGGTCGGAAGTGGAGGTGTGCGGATTCATCGTCGCATGATTTCTCTTTCTCTTTTTGTTGTTGCTGGTGATTGTTGCAGGTTGTTGTTTATTGTTAGGATTGGTTAATGATGTTGAGGTTTGGTGTTGTTGTAATTCTTTGGTTTGTAAGAATAATATAAAATAATTTCAAAATTGAATATAGTGTCGTGATTGTTGATAAAAAAAAGGATGAAGAGAAGTATAGAATTGATACGTGAATGGAAGTAACCAGAAATGTATGTAGAATTATTGGTGTAAAAGAATTGGTTTTTTTACATGTATGAGCAAGTTTTATCGTTTTGATTGAAACATGGAAAACAAATTCATTCTATTGTGTTTATTTCCATATGGAATATGTGTAAATAAAAAAAATGCAAAGGCATGATAAAAAATGGGAGTTTTACAGAGGATAAAAAAAGAGTTTGCCCAAAGTAAAAGGTTAATCGTTATACTGTGTATGTACCGGAATATGATTTAGAAAATAAAGGATTTTTAGTCTAAACAATGTGTTGAACATTGTTAGCAAAAATTAATATAATAATTTCTTTCAAAACAAACCATCAGAAAACATCATTATATGGCAAATAAATAAATAAATCGAGAAGAAAAAGTGAAATTGAAAAGGGTGAATTACGTGTAAATTGTGGGTTTTTTTCAAAGTAAGTGTCAGAGGTCTCTTTTATAACGATTTTTAGATTAAAACAAAAATGGAAAAAATCAAGTAAAAAGTGATTAAATCGTAATTCATTAAGGAAATCAATTAAGCAATTAAAATGGTCAATTAAAATTTATTTGATTTTTTTATCTCTTTGCCAAATTTGAAAATATTTCACAAAAACTTTCCTTATTCTTTACTTGCTCATCAACACCTTCTTTTTATATTTTTGACTAAAATAAAATAATTACTAATAAGGAATTTAAATAAAAAACGAAAATTAAAACGAAAATGTATTTGTTGTGATTTTATTGGATAAAATGAAAATAAAGTTAGGAAATAAATAAATAAAACAAAAAAATGTAAAAAACTGTGGGATTTAAACTCACGACCTCATATTTTATATTTATAAGTTACATTCGTTACCAATTGTGCTATGTTACTCATTTTTAAATAAACCCAATTGAAAATATATGAAAGGTGTGCAAATATTTGCTATTTTAAAAATACAAACTGATCTTACCGGATCAGACTTGGACCGTCACGACTGGCTCCGAGCTGAAGTTGAACGAGATGGGGGGTACCTGCAAGGCACTCCGATGCTAAAGTGAGTGAGAGTACGAGCAGGCAAAAAGTATGAGTATGGATAAGAGAATGAATACCTGACCCTTTGGGAACAGAGGGTATTTATAGCTCCCAGCGTTGGGCCAAGGTCCCTTCATTGGGTCGGGCAGGTTTGGCCCAATGAAGGAACTGCCAGGTTCTACGTGTGTAGTGGGGACCCGCACGTGGTCTCCTTCCTGGGTGTTCTGCGAGAAGTACGGACGGACGAGGACGCGGTCTTTTCGGAATCCAGGTGATGGCGTAATGGTCATAGTCTGCCCTACGAGGGGCGCTCGAGCTGAGGTCGAGCTAGATTGCATGAAGTCGAGGATGTCGCACTAGCGGATAGTGTCGGGTACGGCTGTAGCTTCTTGGTCAGCGCGACCCCCTACAAGGCCGTTTGGATTGGGCCTTCATCCTTGCTTTTGGGCCAGCCCGGCCCAGTCCAAAACAGGAGCCCCCAAGTCGTGGTTCCTGGAGTAGGAGCCATGACTTGATCTTAGGTCGCCTCCGTCGCGAGGTCCCGTGCTCGGACAAGAGATTTAGTTCCCCGTGGTTACTCGAGGAGTTTTCCCTGTGCCGCGCTCGTGAGATAATTCCTTTCGAGGAGTGCTCAGGGGACTCTCGTCGGGTTCGTTGAGCACACGAGGCATCCCTTGGGAACCGTGCCACCACCCTATCGAAGATAGGGTCATCATTGCCTAGGGGAGCTAGGCGTCGAGGAGGGATGTTCGTGGTTCCCCGGGGTGACGTTTTGTATTCCATGTCATCACTATAAATAGGGTCCTTGGGCCCCAAAATATGTTTTTCCCCTTCGCGCTTCTCCTCCTTCCTCTGTCTCTACTGCTTGCTGCTTTCCATAGGACCGCCGTGCTCTTCGTCGCTGATTCTCTTCTCCGCCGCCGTATCTCTTTCCTGATTTCAAGTAAGTGTCTTATCCCTCATGTTTTTCTTCTGTGGCATGTGATATTTTCCATTGTTTTGTACGTTAGAGACTGTGCGTCTGGGATTAGCCCCGGTAGATTCGTATTTCGGCTCGGCAAATCCATGTTTATGCCCGGCAAACGTATGTTTGTGCCCGGTAAATGCATAGTTTAGGTATTTGACTCGTAGTGCTGCCCAGGATCTTCATGATTCAGGGCGCCTAATTCGTGATAGTGCCCGGTAAATTCATAGTTCTGGTTTTAGGATTTATGATATCGCTCGCCATGTTCATAGCCTAGGTCGACACATTCGTGACTGGCCGGGATGTTGGCCCATTTAGACGATCTGTAAGAAGACTTGTCGCAGAATCTGGGCGTCGGGGAGGTGACTCCACTCTTTTGTTTGAAACTTCAACTTCTTAATCGTGTGTGGAGTTACTCGGTTTGTCGTGCCTTTCTTCCCGTCAGTTATGGCGAGCGTGTGGATTTGCTCCCCAATTGACCGGTTTCCTGTGCTTTGTAGGTAACAATGGCGGACGAACCGTGTTCCTCGGGGCGCACTGAGGTGGAAGACCAAAGTGCCGAGGAGAATGTGAATTTGGTCGATACCATCGATGATCCTCTGTTGGAGTGGGTGGGCGTCGAGCCTAGAGGGATTGCCTCTGCCTATAGTCGATGCAATCGAAGTGCGTATACCATCATTGAGCAGGGCGGTAGTCAGCCCGACTTTCAGAAAAACTTCGTTGTCACCAGACCGACTCTTACCGCGCAGATCTGCTCGGAGTTCCCCGAGTACGGTTTCCCCATGTATGAGATTCCATTCAAGGACCTTGGACTAAAGCTCCCCTTTAGCGATTTTCAGGTCGGGGTCTTTAGTCATCTAGAACCGGCCCCGTCGCAGCTTCACCCGAACTCGATCGCTTTCCTCCGGGCGTTCGAACTGACGTGTCGCTTTTTAAAGATTGGGGCGACCATACCTCTCTTCTTCCGCGTCTTCCATTTACAGCGCCAGTCTCGGGGAGGTAGGCAAAGTTGGGTTTCCCTGAAACAGTCGAAGAGACTGTTCAGGATGTATATGGATTCTGTCCGGGGGTTCAAGGACAAATGGTACATCGTGCGGTCGGTTACCAAAACTGGTCTAGAGTTCGTATACGAGGAAGAAACGGTGGTGACCGATGATCATGGGGAGGCTCTTCTAGACGACGAGGGACGCCCGGTGTTGGGGTGTGTGGCCAAATTTCCTTTGCATTGGACCTCGCGTCACTATGAGCATGGGATCGGGCACTACCATACGCCCACGGGTGGGATGAGCACCAAAGATAAGGAGGCCTATGGTACCCTATGCAGATACGTCGATAGTTTCTTCCCTGCCCGGTGGGCTACGAGGGAGGGAAAGGATATTCTCGACGAAGATGGTTATCCTACCTTTGAGGCCCGGCCTATCGATACGAAGGCGCTCGTGGAGTGCCAGTCCTTCGGGCAGGCCAAGAACCTGCTAGGTCATTACTTTTTTCGTTTGTTTGATTTTCTTCGCTTGTTTATTTGCTCGTCTCTAACCCGGGGTCATTTTATGCAGGTCTTATGGTTGGACGAAAGGAGAGGCTCCTGAAGCTGACACATGATAAGAAAGTCAATAAGAGAGTGGTGCGAGCTCCTCAGGCGACGAGGATGGGCCCGCCAACTATCCCAGGCGATGCTTCTGGAGGGTCCCCGGACGCTCAGGATGTCGAGCCACATACCGACCTGATACCAAGGAAGAGGAATCGGGTGGAGAGCCAACCGGAGGTCGGCGAGGACTCTAGTGCGGTGAGGTCCTTCGGGTTGCCCCCTTGTTTTAAAGAGGAGGGTTTCTTCGAGGGATTTCCCTTGTCTGTAAGTGCTGATGAAGCTGATACCATTAGGCGGTTGAGCAAGGAGAATCAGAGAAAGCATCTGGCCGCCAACATGGTCGGGATGGTCAAAATGGCCGAGATGGCCGTTGTGCTGGCCGAGGAGGGGGCAGATTCTGATCGCATCAAGGAGCTGGAACAGGAGAAAGTTGCCCTTACTGCGAGCTCACGAAATTTGAAGGCTGCCCTGGAGCGCTCCGAGGAGATGTTCCGCGAGCAAGCCGAGCTGCTGGCCACGGAGAAATTGAACTCGGGGAAGATTGCCGAGGAGAGGGAGTACTTCCGTGAGGACCAGGAACGCTTGGAGGCTGCGCCTCGCCAAAGAAGTCGAGGAACTAAAGGCCGCCATGCTCCCTGCCGAGGATGAGTCAGAGGAGACAGCTCTTTTGCGAAGTCGGTCGGAACTGGTTGCTCGCATTCAACTCCTCGAGGCGGATTGTGTCCGTGCTTTGGCGGATGGCTTTGAAGCCGCGGTTAGCCAGCTCTCCTTGTTGAATCCTGATCTGAATACTGAAGGAGTGGGTTACATATCTCAGATCATCGACGGTCAGGTCGTGCCCCCGCCCGAGTCCCCTGTTGTCGGCGGTGATAGCTTCGGGGAAGTCTAGCTGTGAGATTCTAGTAGGGCCTGTGCGCCTTTATTGATGGTTGTTTTGGGGCCTGCGTGTCCGTTCATATTTTACTTTTTGGGCCTGCGTGCCTGTTCTTTGTAATTCCTGAACATCGCCGACCTATTTGGTCGGTTTATCTCTATTTGTTTTGTTGCCCACGGGCTTTTCGAATGAATGTTTATTTCGACTTTTGATTATTTTCCCGTGTTTATGTTTTAATATTTTTGCGCTAAAACTGGCTTAAGCTATGGCCCCGAGTCTTGCCCGTGTGTGGTTGTGACTTTGTTGGCAAATTTGCCTAAGTCTTTTGTTTGGGTCGTGCTCGTGC